AGCTGGCGGCACACCACCTCCGCGTCCGCCAGGTCCCAGGCGTCGTCGCACACGGTGCCCCAGGAGCCCGCGTGCCAGAGCTCCACGCGCCCGGAGCAGCGGGCCTGGCCCCCGCGCAAGCGCACTGCGCCCTCCTCTGGAAAAGGGGCCACCGTCACTCGGGGGGCCGGACGGGGCGGGAAGGAGGACAGGGACAGGGACACAGCGGTACCTGGGCAGCTGAGCGAGGAGGAGCAGCTGAGGGTCTCGCCAGCAGCCTGTGGCCCGTCCTCTGACAACCCTGCAGGTTAAACAGCAGCTCTGAGAGCATGAGCGCCCGGAGAAGCCTCAGAACAAAGGTTGTGGATCCTTCATTCTGTGACCCCACCCCAACCCCAGGCCCAAGTTCTGATTCAATGGCATCCCCTGCCAGTGACTTGTCAGAAAGATAAACCTCTTAGACACCCCCAGAGGTCTCTAGTGCCCACCTGCACAGGTGATCCAGACCTGCTCTCGAAGGTCACAGGAGCGTGGGTGCCATGGGCAGGAAGGGCACTGCCACAGAGTGGAGCTGGGCAGCCTGCGGCACTCGATATTGTCCACCCAGGCGGTGCCCGTGCTGGCACCAGCGGAGGGGAAGGGCTTGTTCTCCAGCCAGCCCCGCTCCCCACACCCCAGCTGCTTGCAGATGGCGGACAAGGAGAAGTCCTTCAGGGCGTCGCTGCACACGGCACCCCAGGTCCCGTTGTGGAACACGTCCAGCCACCCAGCACAGCAGCAGGTCCCACCTCGAAGCCTCAGAGCCACTGATTCTGCAAAGCAAGCACAGTCAGGCCAGAGAGTGCCCTGTCTGGCACTGCGGGCAGTCTCAGAAGGAGGGAGCTAAACTCAGGGGGTCCCAGCGCCGAGATCAGTTAAGGAAACAGTATGGAGCCTCTTCAGAAAATTTAAACTAGAGCTACTGCACAATCCAGCAATCTCACTGCTGGGTATAGACCCAGAGGAAATAAAATCAGCAGAGCAGAGATGTCTTCACGCCCAGGTTCACAGCAGCACAACTGACAACAGCCAAGATGTGGAATCAGCGTAGATGTCCAACAACAGATACACGGCTAGCGAAAACATGGCGTATACACACTGGAGCTACTCAGCCTTAAAAAGCGATAAAATCCTGTCATTTGCAGCAATATGGATGGAACTGGAGGACACCGTGTTAAGGAAAATAAGCTAGGAACAGAAAGTTAAATGCCACATGTTCTCATTCATTAATGGAAGCTTAAAAGAGGTTGATCTCCTAGAAATAAAAAGCAGAACAGAGGGTACTGGAGGTTGGAAAGAGCTGGAGGAGGGTGGAATAAGAGGAGATTTGTAAAGACACAAAATTACAGCTGGATAAGAGAAATAAATTCTAGCATTCTATAGCAGTGCAGGATGACTGTCACTAACAGTACATTATAAGGTTTCAGATCTCTGGAGGAAGAACACGGAATGTTCCCAACACCACGAAGTGACCCACGTCTGAGATGATGGTTTTGCTAATTACCCAAACCTGACCATACACATTATAGGGATTGAAACACCACTATGTATCCCATACAGATGTACAAAGAGTGTCAATTTAAAAAGCAAAAGAGAAATATGGTACATCTATGCTATGGAATACTGTTCAGCCTCAACAAGAAGGGAATTCTGTGATTCGTGACAGCATGGGTGAACCTGGCGGACATTATGTGAAGTGAAATAAACCAGGAATGAAAAGACAAATTCTGCAATCCCACTTACATATGAGAGCAAAATAAAAAAGTCAAATGCATCAAAACAGTGGAATGTGGTTATCAGGGGCAGGTGGCGGGGGATGGGGGAGATAGGCCAAAGGGTCCACAGTTACGCAGGATGAAGAAATTCGGAACCCCAAATGCAGCACGAGGAATGCTCATGCTAATATTGCACTGTAGCCGGGCGCGGTGGCTCAAGCCTGTAATCTTAGCACTTTGGGAGGCTGAGGCGGGTGGATCACGAGGTCAAGAGATCGAGACCATCCTGTTCAACATGGTGAAACCCAGTCTCTACTAAAAAATACAAAAAATTAGCTGGGCATGGTGGTGCGTGCCTGTAATCCCAGCTACTCAGGAGGCTGAGGCAGGAGAATTGCCTGAACCCAGGAGGCGGAGGATGCAGTGAGCCGAGATCACGCCACTGCACTCCAGCCTGGGTAACGAGAGCGAAACTCCGTCTCACAAAAAAAAAAAAAAAAAATTGCACTGTACACTGGAAATTTGCTAGGAAAGTAGACGTTAGGTTCTCTTACTACAAAGCCAATGTGACTATGTGAGATGGTGGGATGTTCACTGGCTTGACCGTAGCAGTTATTCAACTGTATGTGTGTGCCTCAGCCCCATGTGCAGAGATAGCATTGGTCCTGACTGACCAGTGCCCAAATATGTTCAGTGTCACCCTTGGAGCAATGTAAAGTCCAACAGACTGATATGCTGGCCTGATGGCAGGTTCGACAATACTTTAAAGATGTGCTGTGAAGCACTGTAATAACATTTTTAAATGCCGATACCAGGATAACTGGAGAAAGTTAGGTATAAATTGCAACCGAAAGGATCATATCTAATTAAAATAAGCTTAGAAAAAGTACTGGAAAGAAACACATCATAATAGAATAAAAAAGTATCCGCAAGTATCCCCTGCCTGCTCCCACACCCTCTCACTGAGTCTGTGCCCCGGCCCTTGAATCCCAGCTGGCTTGGGACTTGGGCCAGCGGAATAGGCTCTGAGACTCTGTGCCTGCTCCTAGGCTGACTCTGCTGTCACTTTTGGAACCAAGGCTGGATCATGACAGAAACAGAGCCTCCACCACTCCTGCCTACAGCCAGTGCCCAGAAGCAGGGCTCTGCCTAGCCATCAAGTGACCGCCTGAAGGCTCTGAGGAAGCCCAGCTGGGACAGAGAACCGCCAGGCTGAGCACAGCCAAAGGCAGTGACCACAGAAATTGGAGCCACACACATCATGTTGTCTGTGGCGGGGCTGGTTACTCAGCATTAATTTCTACAGCAGATCACATACATTAGACACTGTCTGGGTGTCAGGATTAGATTTTTTTTGTTGTTCAAATTTTTTGGACTCAAATTTTAACATCATGTAACATACTTTATATGTCACTCTTTCAAAGATATTATCAACATCGTATTTTTGTAAAGTCTATCAAGAGAATTCCTCTACCTACATCTAGAAGTTACTGTTCTAGCTCTTCTTTAAAATGGCTCCTGTATCTCATCTGAGTCTAGAAAACTAAAATAAAATAAAATGGCTCCTGCCCCTCAGATACAGTCTTATCTCCTTTCCCAAAACAATGCAAGTTTGCACCCTGGACATACGGACGGGACCTTGGGCAAAGCATCAGCACAGGCACAAAACGCAGGGCACGTGTGAGGCTCAGAGCTGAGCAGGGCTCTGCTGCCTGCCTGTCCGTGTGCCTACAAATGGTAGAGCAGGAGCCACCAGCGCCCTGCCCCTCCCTGGGAATGCAGCCCTGTCAGGCAGGCACCCTGAGGAGCCTGGAGGGGCCAGAAGTGACCAAGGCATAGCCGAGGTGAAAAAGAGGCAGCCCCAGGAATTGAACTGGCCATGCCCAACATGCTGGCTCCAGCAGACAGTCTCACGGCAGGTTCCTGCAGATGCCAGCTCAGGTGAGGTCGCCAGGGTGAAGCTTCACAGACAGATAAACAGATAAAGCAGCCACCGGAGGAAAATGCTGCAACCTGGAGAGCAAGAACCGCGTGGGAGACACAGAGGCAAGGCTGAAACCGCCACTTCCCATGGGAACTAGCAGAGCGTTCTAGAAAATGACCTGTCATTCTCATGAGATGCCAAAGACGGGCCTTTTATGAGAGCAGAGCATAGCCTCATTAGAAGAAAACAAGCTTCTGTGAAAAAAGACGCTAAGATGAGGTGAACGGGCGATGGATGAGGTGAGGAGGCTCCCCGTCTGATGGACGGCGGACGAGGCGAAACACACAAAGGACTGGAGAGCAGAACCGACAGAAACCAGACTGTGACGTGGGTGCCACCTGGAGAAACGCCCCAAGAATGAGTGGGCAGAGTCATGCCAAAAATTAATTTTAGAAGCATAGGGAAGACTCAAGCATTGCATACAAAGAACACAGCAATGGAAATAAATGTAATAATCCAAGAAATCGCCAAAGAAAATGTTGCTAAAGAAAAATATAAACCAAACCCAATGAGAAGAGCCCACACTTGAATGAGCTGCCAGAGATTCAGCAGGTATCCAGCCTCTCCTAGGGGTCACCTGGAAACGCTGTGGGGAGACGGCAGATTGGGTGGGGAGCCCGTCACCCACTCACAGACTTCTCCGGAGAACACACCCTTGCTCAGTCTGCAAAAAGGTCTCCAGTACACCAAATATCACCAAATACGGGGTACAGTGGGGGGTGGGGAGTTGGGGAGAGACAGCATGGGGAGAAATGCAAGATGTAGGTGAAGGGGAGGAAGGCAGCAAACCACACCGCCACGCGTGCACCTGTGCAACTATCTTGCATGTTCTTCACATGTACCACAAAACCTAAAATACAATTTTAAAAAAAGAATTAAAAAAATAATAAACACTCAAAAAAAGAGAGAGAGAGAATCTGAAGCCAGTGGCAGTGCCTCCTTCCTCTGGTCGCAGCTGCTGGGGAGACTGAGGCTGAAGGATCCCTGGAGTACAGGTGGTCAAGACTGCAGTGAACTGTGATGGTGCCACCGCACCCCAGCCTGGGAAACCGTGAGATCGTCTCAAAACGAATATATATATACATGAATTCCGGATAGAGACCAAGCACACTTGAGCTGGCAACAGCAGAAAATGAGCCCAGCTGGGGCTTTCCAGAGCCCACCTGCGGCAGGGAGCTGACCAGCCCCAGGCACAGGACCCAAAGCGCTGTCCTGTCCCTTGCCAGCAAGAGGAACCCCGCCCAATACTTGGTGGAAGTTCTGCATTCAAGGAAGAGAACAGCTCCTGGTACTTTAACGGAATTCTGGAGCGCACGTGCACGTGATTACCCGGAGTAAAGCAGCACGATCTGACGCCCGGCCGCGCACCTGAGCAGAAGGCGCCGGCGTCCTCCTTGTGCCCGCAGTCGTGCTGGCCCCAGCCCGCCGACGGGCACCGCCACAGCGCAGACTCGTGGCCCTGGCAGCGCAGCTCGTCCAGCCAGATGCGCCCCGCCCCGGCTCCGAAGTGCGCGGCCCCCGGGGCGCTCAGGGCGCGGCCGCAGCCCAGCTGCCTGCAGACCACGTGCGCGTCCCGCAGGTCCCAGGCGTCGTCACACACGGTGCCCCACGCGCCCCCGCGCAGCACCTCCACGCGCCCCGCACAGCGCCCCGGCCCCGCGGCCAGCCGCACCCCGAGGCTCCCTGCGGAGACACAGAGTCAGGGCGCCCCGCGCCGCGCGGCCACGGCCCACGGGGGACGCGGTTCCGCCCTCACCCGAGCACACCACGCCGGCGTCCCGCGAGGTCCCCGCGGGCTCCCGCAGCGTCGCGGACACGTTGCACCGGGTCAGGCGGGTCTCGGTGCCCAGACAGCGCGCGCGGCTCAGCGCCACCTGGACGGACCCGCGGCCGGGGGCGGGCGCGTCGTAGGCTCGCTGGGCCTCTCCGCACCCCAGCTGCCGGCACACCACGCCCGCGCCGCGCACGTCCCAGGCGTCGTCCAGGACGCGGCCCCACACGCCGTCCAGGGAGACCTCCACGCGGCCGTCACAGCGGCTCTGTCCTTCCCGCAGCCGCAGGGCGTGGGGGAGACCTGGGGACGGGGACGCACGGGGGCCCCGGGCTGTCAGGGGGAGGGACCCAGGCCCACCCCCCACCCCCCAGGCAGGCTGGTCCCTCTCAGCCCCTCTGCCCTTCCTTGCACCCTCTGTCCATGGCTCTCACTCACCCTCCTCCTCCTCCACCGTCCTGGCTGCACCCACCTGAGCACACTGCGGAGGCCGAGTTTCCCGGGGCACAGGCTGGGGCCCCCAGGGTGCTTACTGGGCAATTCCACAAGTAGGGCTCTGTCCCCTCACAGTGAAACGCGTCAGGCCAGAGGGCAGCGTCCCCGCCCCCAAAATGGCCTCCTCGAGGTGCGGCCACCGCGTTGCCACAGTTGAGCTGGTGGCAGAGGACGGTGGCGTCTGCTATGTCCCAGTGGGTGGCACAGAGGGGCGCCCAGGACCCCTGCACCTGGAGCTCCACGCGGCCCTCACAGCTGCTGCTGCCGTTGACCAGCCTGAACTCTGGGGGAGAGGAGGGCTCAGCATGGCTGGGGACACAGACCCGGCACGTGGCTGTCTGTGGTCATTTCCTGCCTTCACACCCAGTGGGATGGGCACAGAGCCCAGCCTCGCTCTCACCAGCTCCCCCGCCCTCCTCTGCGTCAGCATTCAGCCCACACAGCTCTGCAGAAGAATCTGATCTGAGTTCCTGCCTGGGCACTTCGCCCTACACCCAGCCTCTTCCTTCCGCTTCTTTCAACCAACAGAAGCAAACATCAAAAGCGCCCACACCTACTGGCCAGAGGCACCTTTAGGGCAGGAAGGGATCTGGCAGAGAATAAGGCAGGGCTGAGCCCTCAGAGCCCACGCACAGGACCTCACCTGAGCACCGGAGCCCCGCATCGTGGCCGGGCCCACACTGGCTCCCGTGCCCCCGTGGGCAGTAGAACAGCAGTGACTCGTTGCCCGCACAGTGGAAGGCCTTTGTCCACACCGGCCCCGAGCCCCGGCCGAAGCGGGCGCCCCCAGGTGTGGACACGGCCACCCCGCACTGCAGCTCCCGGCACACCACGTGGGCCGTGGCCGGGTCCAGGTCCGCGTCGCAGATGGTGCCCCAGGTCAGGCCCCGCCGCACCTCCAGGCACCCAGCGCAGGGGTGCTCGCCGCCCACCAGCCGGGCCTTGGTGTGTCCTGGGGGCAAACATTCTATCAGGCAGAAGACTCGTGTCCTCGGGTGACAGTTTGGCCCTGAGCCTCAGTCTGTCGAAGGGTTCCACCAGGAACAACCATGTGCATCTAGGCAGAGAGTCTGCCGAGCACACGGAGGAGTTTGCAGACAGAGGCCCTTCCACTCAGCCGCATCACCAAGGTCAGGGTCAAGTTCACCTTCTGCAGGTGCCCACGTGTTTCACAGCCTCTGCATCCCAGCCATGACATCCACACCTTCTGCAATCCCAGAGGCCAGGTCAAGGCACCCCATGGCCCACTGAGCACCACCCTCTCTGGGGCACTACAGCAGGTGACTGTCCACCTCATTTCAGCTGCTCCTCGTACTCACAAGGCCAGGAGCTGTGAGGCCAGGGCGGCTTACACACACCGGAGGCAGGGCTGGGAGGAAGTGATTTCTACCCACCCCAGATCCATGTTAGACGTGCAGCGATCACAGCTGAAACAGCTCACACTTGCCCCAGCAGCCAGGACCCCCAGATGGCCTGCAGGTTCTGAGCCAGGACTCCTCTGTGTGGCCACCAGAAACTCAGCTCCGCTCTCCTGAGAACCTGCCATGAGAGCTGAGGCCCATTCCCTCCAGCGTGCAGATGCACCACGTCTACACCCAATGTCTCAGGCAGAACAGGGTGCCCGTCCATGGGAACACCCACTCCACTTCCCCCTGCTCTCCCCAAGTCCAGCCCCAGCACATCCAGGCCCAGCATCACCCAGGGGTCACTGGAAGCGTCAGGAGGCGGCCTCACCTGAGCAGACCACCTCTGCGTCCAGCCGCGGGTCGCAGCCACTGCGAAGCTTGTTGTCCATTCTGCAGTTGCGGACAGTGGACTCGGTGCCCTTGCAGGCCAGGTACTTGCTGACAACGCCCACATCCCGGCGGGGGGCCTGGAGCACAGGGCCGCACCCCAGCTCCCGGCAGAACACCATGGCCTCCTCCACATGCAGGCCACAGAGGCGGTCCACCCCATTCACGTTTCTGATCTCGGGAAATCCTGTGCAGGGACTCTGGCCCTGCACCAGCCGAAGCTCCCGAAAAGTGCCGTCTGCGGAGCACAGGCCGCCTGCCATAAGGTGTGCACCCAGCTGGCCACGTGCTCACTTGGAGCTTGGGGCCTGCCTGGGTGACTCCAGATGTTTCCATTTGGCCATGGCAGTCCACCCCGGGCCTGAAACCAGGCAGCTCCTTTTTCAGGGAGGATGGTGCTGGGCTGAGTCAGGGCCAGCTTCAGGGGCAGGTAACCGGGCAGTCACACAGGGCGCGGGCTCAGAGAGGCCCCTGTGCCCAGCTTCATGCTCTGTTGTGGGTCTCCTGAAACTAGGGTCCCTGCAGGGTCCCTTCATACTGGGCCCCAAAATAGTAGGAGGTCCTGGCCAGGTGGCTCCGCTTCAGAGGCAGGACGCTATGAGGGGGTCCTCACAGCCACATAAAGTGCCCAGGGACAGCTGAGGACCCTCTAGCCACACCTGGACAGGAAAGCGTGTACCTTTCTGCCACTGTGTAAGAAATCACTACCAGCTGCCTGTGTGGGCCTCGGGCGTCCATAGACCCGGGCCTCACCTCGGCCACTACCTCTCCAAGCCTGAGCTGCCTTCTGCTTCCTTAGTCCACTCTCTGAATCTCCTTGGCAGTGGTTTCTTCAGAGCTGAATCTTACAGTCAGGATGGTTCCAGTGCCCAGCAAGGCATCCCTGCCAGAGAGAGCTCCAGACCCCCTGCCCCCACCCCCCTCCAAGACCCTCCCTGTCCTCCCCCTCCTCCTCCCGCAGCCCCACCCCTTCACTCCGCCCTACTTACTGGAGCACAGAGCGACCACCACCCATGCGTGGGGGCATGGGCTCTGGCTCCACGCGCCAAGGCTGCACTCCCAGAGAGAGGGCTCATTGCCCTGGCAGGACACGTTGTGGAGCCAGGGCAGGGCCATCTCTCCAGGCAGCGGGACGTACTTGGGGGCGCCCACGGCAGGGCCGCAGCCCAGCTGCCTGCACACCACAGAGGCCTCTGCCAGCGTCCAGTCCTGGTTGCACACGTGTCCCCACGTCCCATGGTGTCGGACCAGCACCACTCCGTCGCATGCGCTGGGTCTGTACGCCAGCCTCAGAGCACCTGGTCCACCTTCAGACAGACAGGTCCAGTTAGAGGGGCCACAACCAACCAGGGGCTCAGGAGGAGCCCCTGTTCACAACAGCCCTGGCAGCAGCAGTGAACGGCCTGCAAGGCCTCAGCAGCAAGTCGGGTTCCTCTCACCCGCCAGGCAGTCCCAGAGAGGCAATGGGTGCGGCTCACACAGAAACCCTCAACCCACGTGTCTTCCCTGGAGCTGCTCCCCTCCCTGGCCCTCTGGACCCCCAGCCATGGAAGTCCCCTGTCCTCCTGGGTCCGCAGCTCCCACCCACTATCTGCCTCCCAAGCATCATTCCCCACTTCCACTGGAGGCCTGTGGTCTCCAGCCCACCCGTCACCCCTGCCCCACCCATGCGGCTGTCCACACCCCTTGTCCAGGGCTGCTCACCGCCCCCTCCTGTCCTCTGCAACCCGGAGCACCCAGGAAAACCACCCATGCCTGCCTCCCACTACAACCAAACCCAGCCCCCCTACCAACCCATACCGGCTTCCAGCCAGAAGCTCACCCCCCACGGTCTCAGAGCATCTCAGCTGCGCCAGCACCGTCTCTCCCACCCCCCAGGGAGGCACCTCGAACCACCGTCTCCAGGCCTCTGCACCCCGACATCAACACAGCCCCTTTCCTTCTCTCCTGCCTCACTCCCACCCAAGGGAAATGACGCAGCCTCCAGGAGGAATTCCATGTGGGTGGAGCCTTGTGGCCCCAGAGCGGCCTCCAGGCCCCTGGAGGACCCTCCACACCCAGGAGAGAGCCTCCCAAATGGCAGTCGGTGGCAGGGGGGACCCCACCTGGACCAAGACAAAGACAAAGACCTTTTCCTCCCACCTCCTGGGGAGCCTTGAATCCCCTGCCTCAGTCTTTATCTGTCCCTGCACATTCCCACACTCCTCACCTCCCTCCCCACCTGCATCTTCTCAGGACATGGATGTGTACTGGTGTCTGCCATCATTTTTTTTTTTTTTTTAAGACAGAGTCTTACGCTGTCACCCAGCCTGGAGTGCAATGGCGCGATCTCAGCTCACTGCAACCTCCATCTCCAGGGTTCAAAGTGATTCTCCTGCCTCAGCATCCCGTGTAGCTGGGATTACAGGAACCCACCACCACACCTGGCTAATTCTTGTATTTTTAATAGAGACTGGGTTTCACCATCTTGGCCAGGCTGGTCTTGAACTCCTGACCTCAGGTGATCCACTCGACTCAGCCTCCCAAAGGGCTGGGATTACAGGCGTGAGCCACCCCGCCCGGCTGTGAATAGGTTTTTATTTTGCATTTTCTAAAGCTATTTCTTGTTGTAGAGAATTCTGGCCCTTGTGCTTGCGATCTTTAACACAAAAGCAAATCCCTTCAACCCCAGGGTTCCCAGCTGTGACCACACTGCTGCCTTTTCTTCAAATCTCTCCGCCCTTCCTGCAGCTGCCCAGTCTCCCACCCCATCACGGAGGGTGCAGCTCTGTCCAGCACTGGGTCACTGCCCTGCTGGGCACCTGGGCCCACCCTGCCAGTGAAGTGTTCCTAGGCCTCAAGGGCACCCTCCCCTGCCTCCCACCCAGCCCTTCACTCAAGCCCGCCCTGTCGTGGTTCTGTGCCCACATGTGCACCCTCCCCTGCCTCCCACCCAGCCCTTCACTCAAGCCCGCCCTGTCGTGGTTCTGTGCCCACATGTGCAGGTCCCCAGGACTCCCTCTCACCTCCATCCTCTCCTGCTGTTCCTTCTGGCTAGACCCCGTCTCTAAAGCTGCCTGCCCCTGACCCAGCAGCCCTTCCACATGGCCCTAGACCGCAGTGTCCCCAGCTGGGTGCTGTATCACCACGGGACCCCATGCCCAACCTCACTGCCAGATGCAGCCAGCCCTCTCACGTCCTTCCCGGGATCCCAGCCCTGCTGCAGGGGACATGGATGGAGCAGCCCCCACAGGACCCATCAGGGCTCTTGATTGGGGTCATTGGGACCAGAAACTGGGCCTGTCCAGGGTGTGACCCAGCCCCGCACCCTGGGTTCTGAGCAGTGGGTTAGTGGCTGGGGGCCCTGGGCTCACAGGGATCCGGCCATGTGGGGCCACCTCCTTCCTGGCCCAGCATGTCCCACTCACTCTGGGCTGAGTGAGACCCAGGCAGACGGCAGGTCATAAAACATTCACTAGTAGAGAACACACTCATGCCCCGGGGCCTGGGCCTCAACAGAGCCGCTGCCTCCCAAGAGTTCCTTGGATGAAGGAAGGAGAAACTTACCAATGGGGACTGCCCAGATATTAAGAAGACAGGGCCCAAGTCCCAGGATCCAGAGAGCTGCCCTCATGGTCCCACAGTCTTCTGGACTTCAGCAAGCTCTCTTGCTGCTTAGCTGGGGCAGTAGCGGGGGTCATAGCCCAGAGTCACATAGACAGAGGTGGGAGCTGCCAAGGACCTCCCAGGGCCAATGGGGACAGCCACAGCCTTTCCAGAGCAAATCAGCAGCCCTGCCTCTCAGCCTGAGCATCACCAGACATGGGGAGGGTGGAGGCTGTGGGTTTCCTTCCACACTGATAGCTGCTGATGGGTCTAGACCCAGCCATCAGGCAGGTGGTCCAACCTGCTCACAGCACAGCTGTGAAAAGCCCTGCGTTTCTGCCCTCCACCTGGGCCTGTCGGCTTGAGCTGAGCCACCACCACAGAATGCAGTGACACCAGACAGCTAGGAAGGCGTCTTCTGCGCCGGCAGATGGCACTAACAGAGTTAGGGGTAGGGGGAGGGTTTCAGTGGGAGTCCCAGCAGCACCAGAAGAATGACACAGAATAGCTTTGCAAGAACTGAACTGTCACTGGAACTAAAGCCCATGAAAGAAGATAGAGTTAGGAATCACTCATCACATGCCAGGGACACCACCATTTCAGTAAGAGACAATCGACTGAAGCCAGCACTAGGAAGACAAATCCTCTGAAATAAATGGAAAAATAGAAATCTCAGCAAAGAAACAGAAATTATAAAAATGAAACAGGCTAGGTGCAGTGTAATCATAGCACTTTGGGAGGCTGAGGCAGGCAGATCACCTGAGGTCAGCAGTTGCAGACTAGTCTGACCAACATGATGAAACCCCATCTCTACTAAAAATACAAAAATTAACCCGGGCATGGTGTCACGCACCTGCAGTCCCAGCTACTTACGAGGCTGAGACAGGAGAATCACTTGAACCTGGGAGGCAGAGGTTGCAGTGAGCTGAGACTGCACCACCGCATTCCAGCCTGGGCGACAGAGCAAGACTCTGTCTTAAAAAAAAAGAAAAATGAAACAGTGGTGAGGATGTGGAGAAATGCGAACTCTCAGATTTTGCTGGTAGACTGGAAAACGGTGCAACTGCTTTGAGAAAGTTTGGCAGTTTGTCAAAATGTTCAACAGAGATTTCCAGGAAGATACCACATGAGGCCAGGAAGAGCAATTCCACTCTTAAGTACATATCTAAGAGCAATGTAAACTTATGTCCACACGAAAATCATGACACGAATGTTCACGCAGCTGGAATATAGAAGACCTGACCAATGCAGTCACTGAATTTGGCTTATTTGGTCAAATCATTCACTAACAACATCAGAATATGCTTTCTTTCAAGTGTGCATAAAACATTCACCAGTAGAAAACGTACTCTAAGTCACAAAATAAATCTTAACAAAAGTTAAAAAACACATTTTTAGAGATAGAAATTGTATAAAGTGTGTTCTCTGATCCTATCAGAATTAAACTCAATAACAAAAAAGTATCTGATGAATCCCCCAAATATTTGAAAATTAAACCACTCACTTCCAAATAATCCACGGGTCAAAAGTGAAGTGTCAGGGAAAATCAGAAAACCTTTTGAACTAAGTAAAAATGAGAATACAGCATATCAAAATGTCTGGGATACAGATAAAGCAGGATTAGCAGAAAATTCATAGCATTAAATAACTATATTCAAAAAGAAGAAACTTCTCAAATCAATAATTTAACTTCCTCCTTTAAACAACTAGAAAATTGAGCAAGAACAAGAGAGTAAATAATAAGCATACGAGCAGAGATTTGTAAAACTGAAAACAGTAGAATAGAGAAAATTGATGAAACTGATAACCAGTTCTTAAGGAAGATCAATAAAGTGGACGTATCTTTAGCCAGAATGTTGAACAGAAAAAAAAAAGAGATGAGACACAAATTACCAACATCAGAAATTAAGAAGATGAAATCACTTCAGAATCTACAAACACTTAAAAATAATAAGGAAATAACAGGAACAACGCTATGCCCAGAAGTTTGATAACTTAGAAGAAATACACCAATTCCTTAAAAGATGCAAACTACCAAAAGTCACTAAAGAAAAAATATATTTCCTGAATAGTCCTATATCTATTACAAACATGAATGCTTAGCTAAAAACCTTCCAAAAATCAGCCCACGTTGTTTCACTGGTTAATTCTAATCACATATTTAAGAAAGAAATACCAATTTCACACAATCTCTTCCAGAAAATATGAAAAGACAGAATAATTCTTACTTATCTTATGAGCCATCCTTACTCTAATACTAAAACCAGACAAAAGTATTACAAGGAAAAAAGATATTATCCCTGATGAACAAAGATGTAAGAACCTTTGAGAAAATATTAGCAAATCAACTCCAGTATTATCTTAAGAGATAACACAGGTATGATGGCAATGTTCCATAACTGGACTGAGGTAATAGACGCACAACTCAATACATTTACTTTAAAAATCATTGAATTGGACGCTTAAATGGGTGAGTTTTACGGTATGTAAGTTATACTGCGGTAAGTCCTTTTTTGAATAAATAAACAAAATGATCCAATACTACCAAGTGGGACTTATCCCAGGAATGAAAGGCTGTGCAGCAATTGAAAATGAATCAACATCATTCAACACACTAGCAGACTGAAAAAGAACAACCATGCAACCCTCCCAAGAGATGCCAGGAAGGCATTTGACAAAGCTCACCGTGTATTTAGGATGAAAACCCGTCAGCAGCCCAGGAACAGAAGGGAACGAACTCAGTCTGACAAAGAGCAACTCCAAGAATCTATAGCCAACGTCTCCCCGCCGGTGGAAGATGGAACGCTCCCACCTAAAATAAGGAAGGAGGCAAGGACAGCCACTCTCATCACTTGTGGTCAAAGTCTAAACGGAAGTCCTAAACGGTACAAAAGAGGGAGGAAGAAATTAAAACTTAGAGACTGGAAAGTAAGGAATAAAACATTTTATTCCCAGACCAAATCATTAAGTAGGAAATCTCAAGGAATCTACAGAAAAACTCCTGGAATTGATAACTGAGTTTAGCAAGCTCACAGAATGCAAGACCAAAACACAAAAAGCCATTTTACTTCATATTCTAGCAATGAAATTGCTTCAAGTGTCATTTACAATAGCACTTAAAAATGAGCTATGAGGGATAAACCTAACAACACATGTACAAGATCTGTAGGTGGAAATCTATAAACCCCTGATAAAAAAATCAAAAATTTCCAAACAAACACAGCAGGCTCATCGATTGGACGATATAGAAGACACAGACAGTGAAGATGCCTGTTCTCCGCAAACTGACCTGCAGATGTAATACAATCCCACCCAAAATTCTAGCAGGGTTTTCATAGATACCAGTGAGCTGGTTCTAAAATGTCTATGGAATGGCAAAGGAACTAGGATATCTAAATAAATTTGAATAAGAATAGCAGAGCTAAAGGGCTTGCACTGCCTGATTTCAAGATTTACCGTAAAGCTACAGCAGTGAGGCCCTGTTGTATTGGTAAATGAATGAACACACAAGTGAATGAAACATATCGAGTCCAGAAGTAGACCCCATACAGCGATAGTATATTGATTTTTTTAAAGGTGCAAAGTTGGTTCAGTGGGAAAATGATAGTCTTTTCAACAAATGGTGCTAGAACAACTGTATGTCTGTATGCAAATAAATAAAATGATTCATAATTCACATTTTATACAAAAATTAACACAAAAAAAGATTGAAATTTTAGGATAAAATACAAGAGAAATATCTGTGACCGTGGATTAGGCAAACACTTGTCAGGTACGACACCAAAGCATGATCTGTAAGTGAAAAACTGACACATTGTGGTATGTAATTTATATTGCAATAAATCTAAGATGTCTGATGAATCCCCCAAATATTTGAAACACTCACCTCCAAATAATCCATGGGTCAAAAGCAAAGTGTCAGGGAAAAATCAGAAAACCTTTTGAACTAAATAAAAATGAGAATATAGCATATCAAAATGTCTAGAATACAGATAAATAAATAAATGATACATTATGACCAAGTGGGATTTATCTCAAGAATAAAAGGCTGTGCAACAATTGAAAATGAATCAAAAAAAATCAGCCAGGCACAGTGGCTCAGACTTGTAATCCCAGCACTTTGGGAGGCCGGGGTGGGCAGACTACTTGAAGCTAGGAGTTCAGGACCAGCCTGGCCAACATGGCAAAAATCCATCTGTACTAAAAATGCAAAATTAGCTGGGTGTGGTGGCACACGCCTATAATCCCTGGAGAATCACTTGAACCCGGGAGGCAGAGGTCGCAGTCAGCAGAGATTGCACCATTGCACTCCAGCCTGTGTGACCGAGTGAGACTCCATCTCAAAAAAGAAAAAGAAAGAGAAGAAAAGAAAATGAATCCAAATTCACTTTATCAAAATCTAAAACTTTCGCTGTACAAGGGACACCCTCGAGGTGAATAAAAATGGAAAACAAAGTGAGATTAAAAACATTTGAATATTACACATCTGACAAAAGACTGCACAAAGAACCCTCAACACTAAACAAGAAAACCAACCCAAAGGCAAAATGGGCAAAACTTTAAACAGACGCTTCACAGAAGAAGACATACAGGCAGCAGATAAACACATGAAAAGATGTGCAACATTGTTACCCTTTGGGGAAATGCCAATTAGAACAACGACACATCGATTCCAATGCAAAAAAAAGAAAAAAAAAAAAAAAAAACACCTGACAATATCAAGTGGTAACAGGCACACAGAACAACCGAAGCCTCATACATTAAGGTGGGAATGAAAAACTCGACCAGCCACTGTGGAAAACAGCTTGGCAGTGCCTCGGAAAGTTAACAGCACACCGGATGACCCAGGAATCCCAGGCCTCAAGGGAAATGAAAACTGATGTTCACATGGAAACTTGGACGCAAATGTTTATAACAGCTATGTCCACAATCACTACAACCTGAAAACACTCCAAATGGCCTTCCCTTCAGTAAATAAACTGAGGGCATGCATTGGATGGCGGCCCTCAGATGTGTTTTTCTACCATACATAAAAGGAGCCAGTCTCAAAAGGCTGTGTCAGAACAATTCCTGGCAGAGGCAAATCGCAGGGTGGAGCGGAGCGCGGGCTGCGGGTTTGCATCTGGGTTGCGGGAGGGAGCACGGCTCTGCCGTCGTCAAAAGTCCTGGAACTGGGCACCAAAAAGACTGAATT